GATATAAAAGATGGCGTGGAAATGAAGGATGGTACGCTAATGAAGGATGGCGGGGAAATTGAAGCTTTCCCTATGGCAGGACAGCGCAAGCATTTTATTGAGCATTCGAAAACAAGGGCTTTGAAAAACAATTTCGGTAATCCCTAGCTCATCGCCCTACGAATAATTTGTTGCTTCAAAATAATCTCATAACATTCTCATAAGTTTTATTGGTATGAGAAGTAGCAAAGGCTGTATTGTAAATAGCTTCTACGCCATTGAGAATTATTTCACATTATTGGAGATACTTTGAGAGAAGATTCTTGAAAATCCACGTAAGAAATATAAATCGACTAATTGTTTCATTTATTTCAAGATACTTCACTTATCCCATTAACATAATACTAAATTAATTAGTTCTTATTCCGTACATTTATAAAATTTTGATTTTAATATTTAACTTACTGTTTAATTTAACTTACTAATTTTAATTTTTTTTTAATTTAACTTACTGTTTAAGTTTGATCATCAAGGATGATTATCTCGTCATGAGTGACATCCGTAAAGCATTCCTGATGATCAAACTTAAACAGGAAATTGATCGAAATCGGTTTTCAATCTTGTGGGTTGACGAATCCGGTAATCTTAAAGCTTACAGGTATTCTTCACTTGTTTTTGGATTCATTTCGTCACCATTCATTCTTAACTATGTAATAAAGCATCATGTAAAACAGTACCCACAGGACGAGGTCTCCTCAATTCTTGACTCTAACTTCTATGTCGACAACTTGTTCCTAACCGGCAATGACCTCAGTAAGTTGATTAACCTGTACAAGGAGTCGCTCTCTCGCATGGCTGAGGGTGGTTTCCACTTGAGGTCTTGGGCCTCGAATAACCCTGAGCTTTCTGAGGTATTCCGGCGTGATGGTGTCGGGGCTGACCACCAGGCTACTGCTGAGAAGTTGCTCGGGTACAACTATTTCCCGAGGAGTGACGCTATCGCTGTGGCTGGTGCTGCCTTCAGCGAAAACCCTCAATTCTCAAAGAGAATCATCTTGTCGGAGATATCTAAAATTTTCGATCCCTTGGGCCTATGTTCTCCTGTCACTGTGAGAGGTAAGCTTCTGATGAAGCGCATTTGGGAGAGCAAGGTTGGCTGGGACGAGCCTCTTTCCGAGGAGATAATCTCAGATTGGCTCCAACTTAAGCATGACTTGCAGACTCTTCCTGAGGTGCAATTTGATCGCAAGCTGGCGCGAAAAGGTGAAGAGGTTTCACTGGTGTTGTTCACCGATGCTTCCAAACAATTTTATGGCTTCAATGCCTACGTTGTTTCTGAAAGTGAAACCGAGCCTCGTGCAAAGCTGGCNACAACCATTAAAAATACAATGCATTATTCAGGCTACTATTGACAATACTCTGTTTTATCCAAATCAGCATTAAAGTGGCGATGCATCATAGATTGTGAGTAGCCGCAACTCGTTTACTCTATTCGTAGCGTCTGCTAAAAGGCAAAATGAGTAGCGTACATAGCGTGCGCAACCGCGACCTTTACTGAGTCAACCTACAATAAATAAAGTTCCAGACATGGATTCCGTTGTCAGCGATCTCAAAATAGATCACTGATTACTAGCCATCAAGTCCATGCGCACACAGTCGATACGTGAAACTGTGCTGTTTAAAACTGTGAAACTGTTTTTTTTCTGATATGATGGATTTTGGATACACGATGATGGATGATGTTCCACGTCCTTGCTCGCTACCTATGCTTACATGGCAAACTGACCATCTCGATATGTCATCACAACAATGCATTCCCCTATAAGGGGCAGGGTGGCCCAGTGGCAGCGTGGCCCAGTGGGGGCCTCAGCAAATCATAATTAGAGCAGTGGGTTGCGTGTTCGAGACCGTAACAAGCTGTGAATGTTCTGCGATGTTGAGAATTAGTGACAGGCCTACGGCCTAATGAATACTGAAACCGCAGTACTATACTATTATTTTCTAAATACATTTTTCCCAGCAATGTCAAGTTGGCCAGCCAGCAGAAAAAATAGAATTGAAGGATGAAACTATCATCAATTTTTCCTTCCTTCCTTCTATGCAGGGTTAACCTGTCCGGTGAACAAGCTGTAACGTAAGTGCGTTCTGTCAGATGTTCAATGCCATGCGCACCTCCGCCAGGTTCCGCGTCGCCTTAGAACAATGAAACTATAGGTTCTCTTCAGGAACATTTTTTTACTTGGTTGAAATGGCGCGATCATTATAAGTTCATATGATAATAAAAATAGAACATTAAACTTAATTATGAACATCGGGTTCGCATATGCGCGTCTGATCGAGAGCAATGCATCTGCGCAATCTGTATGAGCAATAAAAGCTGCGAAGCAAGAAGAAAAGAAAAAAAGAGTCGGACGCAGCTACAAGAACATGTTTAACAAGTTTGCTGGCAGGACACTTGTTGTGGCACTCACACTCCTTCACACAAGTACACGTTATGCAGCTTATCCTCGTCCTTGTTCACAAGGACGCAATATATGCGGTAAAATTGTGTGATTTAAGCTTAGGTGCGATGCACAGTGCAAGGCTGCAGGAAGGCAATCCTTGGTCACTGTGAATAGGGCCCACTAAACTGAAAAAAAAACTCCTTAAGTAACTGACTGAATAAATGATCCCATTAAAACTGAAGTATCACCCCAAATAAAGAAATAAAGAACTTTACAGCGGCCCTGTGTGAATAGCGAGTTTCATGCCATGACTCGATCTTGTTGGCCGATGGGCAGCGAGCAATAATCCAAAGGAAAAATGTGCTTAAAAGAATAATAGCAATATTGGTATTGACCTACATGCTGTTTACAAGAAATTGTCTGCACATCCTTACTTGATAGACACGCGGATGAATATCATCTTATTGGAGGTATATTAAAACAACGCTTTGATATTATTTTACATTTACAAAAAAATGCATACTTTCAAAGCAACAGAAGACTAAAGATCGTTGCCTGAAGTATAATTTTTTCATTCATTTTGGATTAAACCCACTGAGTGGCTGAGCAGCACCACAGAACATAAACATAAATTGCATCCACTTGATAAAAAAAACAGTTTATTCCGAGAGGAAGGCCACCGATCCGACAATACACCTTTACATGTCAAGTCTAGAATCACACTGAGCCGTTGTGACCCAGTGGGCAGTGACCCACAGCGGTATGCAGTATGCCCTCGTCCTACGCCGTCGCTGTGGTTAGATTATATTATATAATCGAACGCAATGATTGTGCCCACAACATCACGTAATTACGTTACAATCTAAGTGATTAGCAGTGATTTTAGTGATAGCGAGGGGGACTAATGTTATTTAATCAATGATACCTTCAAACCAATCTCAGAATTTCGAAAGTCACGTGAAACTTAATAATATTGATAAATTAAACTTAAAATCATTATTAAGTAAATTATTTCAAATTTGTCGATCTTAATGTCACCGTCATGAATCGGCGCAGGCATATACTTTTTAACGCCATGAAGCAGCTGCGTCATCGTTTTTGTCAACGTCACGAAACTGTGAAGAAATGATACTTAACACAGTCATCATGAAGAGAAGACTTTCGTCGCTGCACCATAAACCGCAGACACACGTGCCACTATATTGAAAAATAATATCCAAGAGTCTAACAAGACTTCGGCACTAGTAGATTTTTCACAGATCTCGTAGATTTGTATCGATAACTATCGAATAATCTTATGTGTTTCGTACTTAAATAAATCTTTTGTGAATTCCTACCTTGATACGGATAAAAAGTATTCCCAGCAGAATCTGACAAAGAAATAACGTCGATTACGAGATGATATCAGGTTGCGAACTTGCGATATTGATAAACTGAACTCAATATTAAATTGACGTTTGAATGTGACCATTACTCAGTAAGACACTGGCATTGTTGGCATTGGTCACATTTTTGCCATCAGTTCAACATTACAAACTCGACTAATTCCAGTTTGGTTGAATTCGAACGTTAAATTTTAACGTCAAACTAACGTCCTCGCATCAACGTTGGATTATGACTGAAAAACGTCAGTTCTCCTATAAAATTTCAAAATTTTTGGATTTTCAATTTCTAACAGCATTTCTTCGTAGTTTGGTGATTGCTGCATCAACGTTGAATCTAGGCTAGGTGAAAGACTCGTCATTCATTTTTTCATTTTTCGAAATCCTTACATGAAAATTCGTTACAACCTTCGTTTCAGTGCCTGGCAGTATGCAATGAAATTCTATAATATAGTTTATTGCTATGCAACTGGCATAATAGACCGAAAATGCAACTCTTCGAAACAAAATATAAAATGTCAGCCTGCGATCGTATCTTCGTGGCATAGATAGGCTCGTTATCAACTGATGAACTTTGCCAATAATACCAATAAGTGTAACATAAACTTTATTAAATAGATTCAAGCATTATACGGAGTTATAGTTGAATTTGTTTAACCCGTGTGAGCACCTTGAATACTTATTCGTGTCTTTTGAATTCTCATAAATCGCCAAGTAAATCTTGAATTCTGATATATGCAAATCCAAAAAGATTAAATTATGTCATTAAATGCTCGGCCAATCATGATTCACAATTTTTCATTACCTTCATCGTATCAGACCTATGGAAAATATCAAATTATATCAAGTTTAACCAACACATTTTCATAATTCAACAAGTTGAGCGTCAATCTCATCACTGCGATAATACGAAGACTCAGCTCCAGGCCTCTTGCCACTTGAACGCGTCATGTATAGATGTATTGTCTTTAGTATCTTCGAGTACAAGTGGAGCTATCAGATAATCTTCCCCAAATAAAAGAATGAAAGAAACAATAATTGCAAAATCATCTCCTTATATGTCGTCGATGCTGAGTATTTGCCACGGCAATTATTATTTACTTTGATGTTTTCTGCCGTAAGGCATTATACAAGACCATGTGTACTCAATAACAACACATAGCCCAAGGTGAAATAATGTTCGCGCATAGCTTGATTGAATTTATTTGCGTACTCTAACATAGAGAACTTCATGACAAACCTGCAAAATGTTTTCATTTTCCTCATCATCCAACACCATTGCGTAAGGAATTTCATCAGTATTCATGCCTCGAGACCTCAGATAAGTTTCTATCTGGGATGGAGTCACATTGTTGACTGCGGATGGTTTGATGGATGCCGAATCATCGATTTCGTCTAAGTGTTTTTTGTCCTGCACTTGATCCCATTTACGTTGGTATAAAAGACTGGAAGTTGTAGGAAACATTCCGACGGTATTGGTGCCTGCTTTGGGCTTAACATTCTTCAAGATCTCTCCATGAAACTTTCTTTCTTTTCTTGAACTTCCATCACGCAGTAATGTTTTAAAAATATCGTCGAGGGCTGAATTGACGTTAGCCTTGTTGGCACTGGACGAGCCGACTTCAGATTCATAGTCACTGTTAAAACTATCAGCTTTGGCATAGAGATGGGCGTTGGCGTAGGTCTTTTCTCCAGGAATCGAGACCTCTTGGTCGGTCCGCTGCGTGACAGAGTTTGCTTTGGAGGTTAGGTTGCTGAAGTCGACGCGGCAAAGGTAGTGCTCGTTGTCCTTGACACTCACCCTCCGGAAGCCGACATCCTCAAGGGACTGAAGGATTCGGAAACGCTCCTGTTACGGGAAAGGATAAATTTAATCCAACAATCTAAGGTATTGGTAACCTAAGTATTTATTAGAGAGAAAAGTTTATTTCTATTAGTTAAAAAATACGGATGAACGCTGGAATACTTTCATTCCAACGCACGATATAAGGATAGTTTCAGAAATGTTCTAACGTAGCTTCCCGACGTAAATAGGGCTGTTTCTGCACCAAAAACTCCAGCGTGACAGTAATGCGTCCGTGTGATGAGAAGCTTTTAAAAAACGTTCAAGTCACAAAATCCCCAGATGATCCTCGGGCCGTGATATAAAGGCATAAAACTGATCAATTCGTAGCAGTAGTTAACGGATGGCAGCATTCTTTTAGAAAAAAAACTCAAAGACTAACAACGGATTTTGGGAAGCTGATGGTCGATCACCATCAAGTTATTCGCCTATCACGGTTTCTTCAATGGCTTTTTGTAATGAAAAGCCGTGTCATTTGTCTCGTGTCACAGCTGTCACATACTGTGCATATACCGAGCCCGTCATATATCGAGTTGTACGAATTTGGGTTCGGATCATCTCAGCTGCAGCAACCGAATGTTTGACTCCATTCACGGACTCCTGGACAGAGGTATCTTCTAGAAATGCAAGAGTGTTTCGTTTTTAAACATATTCACGGTCGCGAAATTATCGTGCCTAAGTTTGGATGACCCAAGGAAGTACAAGTTTGTCGAAAAAATGGTTCAGTTCTGTGTCTCGAAAGGCTCGCAGTGCTGACCTGAAGAGTTGGCATCCAGAGGTGGCTGGGCAAGACCTTCAGGTCCAGGGAATGGAGCTCGATTGAGAGCTGCACTACGTTCCTCAGCAGGTCGTTGGCAATCATGTGTTCCAGCACCTGTGGCAAAAGTAATATGTTTGTTCATAAAGTAATATAATTAATTTGCAGGCAATATAACTCATATACCCACTGGACATTAACCTCACAACCAAGCCATNATCTTAAGATAATATATAGCAGTCAGTTACCTGCCACTCGTGCCCCTCGATGTCTATCTTCAAATAATGGATGATGGCATCGGAGTGATGGTTCTGGGACAGCAACGTGTCGAATGTCTTCATGACAGCGACAGCACTAAGGATCTGGCCCACAATTGGACGTGAAGAGAGAGCTTCTGGATGGAAGTGTTGCCGGTACCGGGATTTTTCCTGATGGACAAATTATAATTGCTAAAAAAAGAACGCAACTTGGTCAAGATAATTTATAATCTGCGTCTGCAGTGGAGACGGCGTTTTAACAATCAAAGAAAACATTTGTCAGATGAGCAAGACTATATGGAAGAAACTATTGTGAATGAACATTGTTGTTAACTGAAAGATATTTAATTCATCGCAAAACTCTTATTCATTACAAATTTTGACCAGCAATAACCAAAACCCTCACAGCCCACGAACACCTTGTTTGTAATCAGCGAAATAAGAATTGGGAATATGATCAGGAATCTTTTCTATCGAGCACACTTTATCTGCAATAGGATTTTTCAGCACCATAAGCCTCACACTCAGACTAATGTGAGTCTGCGCAAAACTACAAAATGTTATGTATGACCTGGTGCCAGCCTATATCATGTATATGCTGTGGTCGTAAAGCAACAGTTAAATAGAATTTAATTTGAGGCTCCGCATTTCAAACGTGCCATGGAAGTCTCATCAATTGGATTTCTAATCATTATCATTTTTAGCGCATTTTCTGTCTGTCATTTCTCGCCATGTCCGTCTGTCTGTCTGTCTGTCCGTCTCCGTCCGTCCGTGATCTCAAGTTTTCGTCGACGGGAAAATGCGCTCTCTGTCACTCACTGCAGTGTGTACTGAGTTATATTTTTTATCATCGCCTGACCAGGTGACCGCCCATCATGTATACGGTGCGGTCTGTAAGCCGTAATACAATGGTTAACGTCTGACCAGATTCCAGACAATCATGCGCACGGTTGGGTCGTAAAACCACAAACAAGTTTAATAGAATTGGAAGCTTCACATTTCAAACATGTGATGAAAGCCATATCAATTGGTTTTCATCTCATCATTTTATATTATGGCCAGACCAGGTGCCAGCCCATCATGTGTATGGTGGGGTCATAAAACCAAAATCAAGTGTATTAGAATTTGAGGCTCCACATTTCAAACATGCAATGAAAGCCACATCAATTAATATTCATCTCATTATCATTTAACATCACCGCCAGACCAGGTGCCAGCCCATCATGTAGGGAAACATGCATGGGGCAGCGCCCCCCCCCTTTTTTAAACTAAGATTTTGATGAAGTTTTAGTGATACGAGGTGGTTCTTTGTTTTGTTTAATACAACTAATGAGGAATGTATGATGTGAATTAGACGCCTATAGAGTTATTCAATTTTTAATGAAACACTATTTTGTAAAAAGTCTCAAAATGGGCCCATTGCCCCACCCTTGCGGCAATGGGCCGATGGGCTTGAGGCAATGCGCCCACCCATGGTCCCTTTACCACAATTGCATATTTTTCGTTTAAAAATGATAAAACAACACTTTACAGTTAAAAATAAGAAAAATGTTATAAAAAATATGACATGTATTCATTTATTAACAACTCAAAAAATCATATCCTTATCTTGAAAAAAATATAATCTTGGCTTAAAAATCTATCACTGACGTGAAGAAAATATTTCATTGACATAAAAATATATATCCTTGACTTAAAAATATACCCTTGCGATAAAAAATTCGTCCTTGACATGAAAAAATGTATCCTTGACTAGAAAAAATATATTTAGTTGATCAGGAAAACTTCGTTCCAGTTTCGTCCATAATCCAGATTTTATTTGCAGAGAATTCGTACCTAATCGTGATTTCAGCCAACACCATATAAAAACTCATCAACTTTTGGCTCATTGGTGCATGTTGACTGAAATCAACTTTTGGCAAGGCAAGAGTCAATAACTCGATAAGGGGTCATAAATACGAATAACTAGAAACTAAATCTGCTACCTTGAGGCGGCAAATCAAAAAATCATGCAATATGATGTGTAATTTGTAATTCAAAAAGCTAGTCATAGTTTTGAAAAGGTCATTGAGACAAATCTAATAATGTATAACACAAGACTTCACCATGGGCGCTTTGCCCCGTGTCATTGGAAGTTTCCCTAACTGTGGAACCTTCGGCATATCGCTGCGTGAATTGAACAGCATCATAAATAATTAATTCAGGACAATAATTATCGCGCAATCAAGGACATATGAGTCATGTACAACAATGAGCATTTGTGTACATTCTTTCCTTCAATTCTAAGTTGAACTTAGGAGTGAAAAATAGAGTTTATATCATTTTTTCTGTACTAAGTCTAATTTTTACCATAGCTCATTTTTTCAATTAGATTTCATCAGTATTCAGATTATTCGTAAGCAAAGTGATCAAATACTTATTGGCCTGATAAGTCATTCATATTTTTGATCCCAAACTGATCCAAATTAAAAAATAAACCGAAGTTGGCTTTTTCAAATTTAAGTTGTGATTAATTAAAACCCTTAGTAAACTCTAGAAAAACTCTTAAGCTAATGCTGAACTATCTGCTCGGGAAAATTTAATGTAATTTCTTACATTAATAGATTATTACTGACGTCTTTATTGCCTTCGTATCGCCGAGTGCAGCCCTGGCCTCCCATGTTGACCAGCTTGCGGCACCGCAACGACGGCTTCTTGAAGTCTGCGTACAGCTGCTGGACCGAGGCCCTGGCATGCAGCCCAGCTGCTGGTCCTGGGGCTGTCCACAGTGTGGCACCTAATGCGCCCAGTGAGTACCAGGGCTGTCCAGCAACTGGGTTGAGCTGAGACAGTCCTGCAGCTACCGACCTGTTGTTGCAACCAGCGTACAAATTATTATAAAGTATTATTGGCCGAAACTTGTTGCAACCAGCGTGCAAATTATTATAAAGTATTATTGGCCGAAACTCGTAACATAATAACGTGCTATGAAAGATGCCACGGCACTATATATTTCGCTTTATTTTGCACTTCTCAAGCGCAGCCTCTGTATGTACCCATGCTTCACTGACTTTAATATGGAGTGAAAAAAACGAGAATTATAATTCCTAAAAATACACTGTTTATCATATAATAATCACACAATTATCATATATACTAAAACTGCATTGTTCTCAGCAATTTACCAGCTCATTAATAGCCGTTCACTTGTAGTTGTGCGTCATGTGTCAATGATAACATAATTACGGACGATTATTGGTCATTATGGATTATGCACTGCAAACATATGGTTGCATGCCCGCATTTTCATTTTTATTTCCATTTTATGGTTGCATGTCCGCATTTTTATGGTTGCATGCCCGCATATTATGGTTGCATGCCCGCATTTTTTGTTTATTTTCATTTTTGGAGCGAGAAATCCATTGGATTTAGTCTTCATCGCACGCTTGAAATATGAAGCCTTACATCCACTGAACTTTCACTAGTCCAGTACTAAAGTAATTTCCAGATACGAGATATTTGTTAATATGCGTCCGGCATCCTATACGTGACCTTTCTTAAAATAAACTCTTTCTTTCGCAATGATCAAACTTCAGGGAGCGGAGTGCTCGCAGTTAAAGGTCAATTTCATGCAAGACTAATGCCAGTTTAATTGTGATTAATAAATATGCCGTATTTTCTAAGCAGTCTTACCCGACGTCGGGGACGTTCTGAGGTACGTCCATTCCTTCTTCAAGCACCACTATGTATGTCAGGCCATGTGTGGATGTTGATTTACCCAAAACGTACGAGGAGCTCGTGTTAACACAAATGATGTACACCAAGGACATTGCGAACAGCGTCCAAGATATCACCGGCGACCATAACACCTTTGTTACCAGCCAACATAACAGGCGTCGTCTACACATCCGCATGACCGTCGAATGTTACGCGTGTTTGACATGCGCAAAGTTTACCGTGATCACTTCTAGAGTTAAGACTTTATCGATACATGTACGTGTAAATTATACAATTTCATGTTTGGGCGTCTGTTCAGCTCAAAATTGAGCTTGGTAAATTTTATTAAACACTCATTTCACTGCCATCACCGCATGACACCATTTATAACTAAAAATCAATTGCATTTTGAAACGTCTGTGAATTAATTTGATTTCTTTCTATTTTCACACAAATTTTCCTATTGAAAAGAAACGATAGGTTCAGCCAATCATTTTATTATTGGAGATTACTCTGTTTGTAGACTCCATTTCGCTACCGAACAACTGAACATCATAGAAAGTATACAACAGACGCAGCGAAAACATTTTTGTACAACGCGGTGTCGCTGGCGCAACCCCCAATTTCAAAGCCATAAATGGACGCCATCAGGTTATTTATGATGACACTGCTTTAGTTGCAACCTTTCTAGAGCAGAAAAATTTACACTCAACGTCACTTTAATACGATTAACGTTAGATTTTTGCAGATAATTATAAATATGGTGATGCAGCTCCCCTCTTCTCACCCTGCGCTCACTCCAGCTCGACTGCAGGAATGTCGGCGGCTATATATCCCAAACTTCCTTGTTCTGTTCAGAAACTTCGATGAGGAAAAACAAAAGATGGACTCATTTTTCTTTCTGTTAGTGAAATTTCGTCGTCTTTTCCTGGACTTTTTATTATTATTCCATCTATTATTCCACTATTATCTATTCTATTATTCCACATTTAGATGAATTGACAAACTTTAACTCCATTTTGTATTGCACGGCAGTAAATATTTGAAGATTTATCTCTGCCGTATCTCAAATTTTAAAATCGCACTTATGGCGTCCCAGGTTAAACTTTTTTGTGCAGGTTTTTTCACACTATGCATGAGAAAGAGAAATACGGCGGTCGTATGCTCCTTCCTCCTTGTGAGAATGCGTGTCTTTCCCTTGAGCTCTGATCCATTGTTCGTTGTTCGAACGTTTCTAAATTAGTTTTAAAGATCATGTACTAAACAACGGCCTGATCAAGTTTCTCGCTTTGTAAAGCTTTAACTTTTATTAACAAGCATGAAAATGTACGTCACTTCTACACGATTTTTATTGATTGTGCCAACGTTGGTGCTGCTGAGGTCTTACGTCAGTGACGTCACGCGCACGACAGCGGGCGTCGCACATTATATCAACTCCGTGAACTTCACTCCCCGCACTCCTCTACTAGAGCAAAAGTGAATTTTAATTTGCTATTTACATTATTAGTCCGATTAATCTGAGGTTACTTAATGTTTGGACATTAGAATAAAACAACCAGTAATTTTGTGACCAGCCAACGTGTTATCAATTAACACAAACTCATTGGGAAAATAATAATCATTGGGAAAATACTACGGTTACGAGTGCGCGGTCGGCATAATATATGGTTGAAGAATGTCAGTAATATTGTCATTTTTCCAACAAAAAAAAATAACAAGGTTGGTTATGGTGAGGTGATCATAAACGCTATGATTTCATACACATGATTAAATTCTAGATTTAGTTCAGATGGTATCATCGATATCTCCTACATCAGGTCGCGCTGTTCTTCATGCAGAATGACCGCAAATTTTGTGCTAATTTTATTTACACGTACTTTCCAGTGTCCTCTCACAGGACAATTCTAAACCTGAACGTTTATTGATTCATTACGTGTTTTATTTCAAATCTTACAGTTCAGAAGGCACAGACTGGAGTCCAGGCGAGTTCTACAGACGACTTTATCGTCCTACAGGAAGATGTCAGAAGCTGGTCAGCTTAGGAGGCGTTGGGTGCCTCAGACGACTCGAGGGAAACAAATATGTGAGTTTAAATATTGTTTGTTCTTTTTTTACGTATGGGGCCCATGGGATGCTGACTTAAGCATTATCTCGTTATTATAACTACAATTAAGTTAAATCTGGTGCTGCTTTTCTTTTTAAAATTGAAAATAGTTCAGCAGACTCTGAGGGTCATGAATTGTATATATATATGCAGTATATAATTGTATATATTCCGTATTGCGATGTATAAAATAGTATATATCCCGGCATCAATGTCCTCACATCTAAGCCGGCGTGAGTATACTCATAGTTTGTGACGCAATTAATCCCCCTCACTTACCCCGGTATCAATATCCTCTCATCTTCGGCGGAGTGAGTCCATTTGTTTAGCACCCCATCTCGCGATTCTCAGTTTTGGGACCCGAATGTTGCTGTGTCAGCAAGTATTGATGGAGACGGTGCAGTGATACCAGAAAAATAAGTGAAACAAAATGTGGCACATCAAAGTAGTCAGATAGTTGACGACGAAAATATAATGGCAGTAGGAGACGAAATGTGCATAATTATTTTCTGTTTCATAGGTGTTTGGGTTGGAATTGAAGCGTTTGCATCGCAAACGCTTATGGCTGGCATCGCAAGCGCGCTGGCATTGCAAACGCTTATCTTACAAAAATCAATTTTCCATTCAATCTCAGGTCTTGTTTCGACTACTTATTGCCCACAACGTAAAATATAAGTTTTTACCAACTTTGATAACATCTTGTGGTCCTACTAAACTTTAGAGTCTCATTCTCACTAAGTAAAGGTTTTCATGAGCCAACAAAATGACTTTTTGCAGAACATTCACTCTAAAAATATTTTATACTAATTTGCTTAATATTCTATATGATCCAGTTAAAATATTCTAAAACCGTAATTTGTGCATGGTGTCTGTCACCTTTAGGAGGATTTCGCGGCAAGGGGCATGCACTTCCACCAGGTGGGTATATCCTCGCAGCAGGAACGGCGGGTGCTTCCTTCTCTCTACTCGGACGTCCAAGGCAGACCAGTCGACCTCCTGCCTCTCCATGCCCTCAAATCAAGGCTCGGGCACTTCGGCCGGACTATTCATTTGCTCAAGATGGATATTGAAGGCGCCGAATGGAAGGTGATATATGATAAACGTGAAATTAGTTGATATAAATGGAATGAAGGAAATTAAGACACTAAATTCGATCTAGGTTCCACTTCTAATTTAAGAAAAGCAAAAAAAATCGTGATCTGGTAAACGCTCAAATCTCTGTTAAATTCTTTTCACCTCATTTCCGAAACTTTGGTGCCATGAGGTGCGGGGTTCATTTAATTAATACGAGGCATGTTTTTTTAAGCAAGCAACGTTTTAGAATTTAAAATAGACGTGCAAAGATACTGCAATAATTTTATTTTTACATGAAAGCCTGTACCTCAATCAACTTTTTTTACATAATTTCCGTGAATATTGAGGCACTAGTCATAACGTCGCACCAGTTTTTGAATACCCTCCTGATAAAATTCTGCAGCCTGACACGGAGGTGAAATTCTGAATTCTGCTGAAATAGAGGTGAAAATCTGCTGAAAAACGCCTGAAATTCTGCCGCAGAATTTCAGGCGTTTTTCACCAGAATTTCACTTCCATTTCAGCAGAATTTCATGAGATGAATGAGATGCTGATGTCATATATATGAAAATTTATGACCTCAGAATTTTCCACAAACACAAAGACGCTTGAAGTAAGTAATTTTTCGTATATTTTCTACTTGTTCGTCCTACACTGAGAGAAAAAGGCCCCCTGTTTTGAAACACTTGGGTGTTTCAAATCCTCCCCGAGCGATCGTGCCCAAACCGAAACACAATGTTCAGGCGTTTCAAAATTTGCGATTTTGAAACACCTAGGTGTTTGAACGTTAGAACACCGATAGTATACGGAGAATGAAAAGTTATTTTCAGAATTTATGCAATATCCTTGTCCAGTTTCCAGCGCCTGATGAAATTATTTTAACATATTCTACTCCTCCGGTCGATCCCAGTCTAATCCATGGCTGTCCCCATACCAAAATTATGAAAACTATATTTCTCCGTCTCTATCTGATTTCAACGCCTTTCTCCTTCACAGCGAAATTAGTCACATATTCATTCTTTTACACACATATTTGTTCCACAATTTATCACGGTATATACAATCATCATGAAACTACACTCTTTGCTCTCACCTCTATCAAACTCTGGTTGAAGAAACTATCAGTCGCCCGCCGAGATTCGA